CTGGGACTGGCTGCTGTCTTTTTCTTCTTTGGTTTGGAGTTTGTTCGTGACTGGGATTTTTCCAGGCTAGATGACAGCAGAGAGCCCAGGTTTCTTCTCTCAAAGAATCAGAGGTGTGAGAAGAGTGACCAAACCCAGCCTCCAAGGGACAAATGGAAATTTATGTGGGCTCTGAGCCTTCATTTGTGGCATATTTGGTGGTTTTCCACTGACCAGGAACAGGTTGTGGCTATACCCAGAATCTGGGCAGGGGAGGTCTGTTAGGGTTCGTGTCTAGATGTACCCCAAAGCCTCAAGCAACTCTGGAGCAGACTTCTAGAGTTTACAATTGACTCATGGTCCAATGATGGAATCATGGGTGTGGGTGTACACCCACCCTAGGGAGGGCAGCCTGCATACAAGAGAGGGAAAGAGGCTTGTTTGCTGCCTCCTCCCTTTCACTCTTACTGCTTTTTGCTGTTTTCTCCTTCTGTGAACTGTCGCCCTCTGCCATGTGACACTGCTCTGAAGCCAGCTGAGCATGGGCTAAAACTTTCACAAACCATAAGCTAAATACGTCTTTCTTTCCTTAATTCTGGTCTTTAGGTATTTTGTTCCAGCAATAAGAGAAAAGCGACCAAGACAAAGGCTCAAAGTTGGGGCACAGGTGGAGCCCCAGGAAGAGCGCTTGGGTCATGTGATACCATCCGAAGAGGGGGCCGCTGGCAGTAGGCCTGATGAAGCTGGCGTGTGGCCACTGACGTGGGGTCTGCATCTGGCCTGGTGGAGAGCCGTGGTCTCTGTGGCCACCAGGGAGTTGGAACAAAGTGCTGACAACTTTCCTCTCATGACTCCTTAGGCTCTTGTTCTCTCATACTCAGTGTGCCTTGCCAACTCCAGAACTGAAGTGGACTGGAGCCCAGGCAGGGTAAGGTGGATGTCAGTGTGAAATCCCACTTTTCAGAGGAGCAGGGCTGTGGGCTTGGCAGCTCACTACTTCACAGCTCTGTAGGATGCAGAGGCTCTCCCAAGAAGCTGAAATCCTTTCAAATAATATAACGAAAGATAAATTTGCACTGAGTGCCTCAACCTTTCTGGGAACTCTTTTTGTTTCAAAAAGAAAATAATGGTTTTGTTCCACACATGTTGAGTGGGACTGGAGGGAGGCTCTGTGTCTGGGCTCCTTTATGGCTCCGCCCGTGGTACCTCTCAGTATTCACTGCCTCTCTCCACCCCTGCCATCCTGCTGATAGATATTATTGCTATCATCACTGCATGCATGACAAATGGAAGGTGACCCAGAGAAAATGACCCCAGAGGTGTTGCATGACAAAGCTTAAGTGAGCTGGTGGGACCCCTGGCTGGTTTCCCCCATCCCTTTGCTGCACTATCTCTTCAGACTTTTTAGGGTTTCGTAGGTTAGAAAAAGCACAAATATCGAATACTCCCTATTCACATAGGGACCTTCATTATTTTATGACTTTATTTCTACCCAACAATTTAGTGGTTGCTGCTATTCTATTCCTACAGGTCAGGCAGACTTAGATTCCAGGGAATTTATTGATTTCTGTTGGTTGTGGAGGGATGGACAGTAAATAGAAATGACAAGAAAAGATGACAGGCTTTTGACAAATGTCTTCTGTATGCCAGACATTCTCAAATACATGGTGTTAATGCTTATAGTAAAGCACAAATTCCATAGGGTCAGGAGGGGGAATTCCTGAAAGGGAATTCTGAAGATCAGGATCATTTCCTCCCTGGAGATATGTGCTAGTGCTGGGTGGGCCATACGCAGTGGACAAAAATTGGAGCTGAGAACCCGATGTGGAGAACTCTGTTCATTATCCAGAGTATGAGGTGACGATCCAGAGGGACACACATTGAGGAGGAGGGTGACCTGGAACAGACCAGCCTTCTTAGCAACAGAGCTAGCTTAGGGTCACCTCAGCCTCTGAAGGTGTCATGGGCATTTGTCATTGCCAGTGACCTACTCCAGCTGCCCATCTGGGACAGAGGCAAACCTCCAAAGGACAATAATCCATTCCAGAACCCCAAATAATCTCTATAATTAAAAATACAGGTAATACATAGAATTCAATCAGAAGCAACCAAACATGAGGTAAGACATACAGAAAACTCATAAAAAATAGTTCTTAGGGGATCCACCAGTGGAGCTATCAGAAGAATTTAATACTTATGCAAATTATACATGCAAAGGACTGAGTAAAAAACTGAAAATTCTGGGACAGTGCTAGAAATAAAACCAAATATGAATTTGAGTATTCCTTACCTCTGGAAATCCTAGAACTAAAAATATAAAAACTGAAATGAAGAACTAAATGGATAGATTTGACAGTATCAGCATCTTGGGTTGGGATTAATAGTTTCCAAGGTTGGTACATTTGTCAAGACTTAATTTTCTCTTTAAATATGTGCAGTCTATTGTATTTACTCTATACCTCAGTTTCTCTGTTTAAAAACTCAAATAACCACAGAGAAACAAAAGATAGAAAAGCAGAAGACAGGAGGGCCCAGAGAGAGAAGGCCTAGTATAAGTATGATGAAGGGCTTGGGAAGAGAGACAGCAAGCCCGCAGCTCCATCTGCCATCTTTGTCCATGCTTCTTTCTTTTGTGTCATCCTATCCCTTAGCTGACACTACCCAACAGAGAGGAACAGTTGGGACAGAGGTCTGCGGAGCTGAGGTTACACATGCTTCCCTTTCCAGAAGAGGCTTCTTTGTGACACAGAGCCATGTTTGATAGACATGGTTGAGGATACAGTGTTCCAGAACTAATCAAAGGCAGAAATGTATTTATTCCAAGATGACCAATGGATGTCATTGAGGAGCAGCTGTAAAGTGAGAGGACAATTAGGTGACGCCACCAGAGCACAGAAAACCTGTTATTTTGGACTCCTGAGTTCAGAGAAAGTGCCTTTGAGAGGTAAAATAAACTCATTTTCAAAAAAACAGAGATTAGCTAGTCTTTCATGCTCCACTCATAGGTGAAGGTAAAACGCATTATATGAATAGGACAAGCAAACATTTCAAGCAAAATTATAGCAAATAAGTCTGGCAGTATTATAAAAAGATAACATATGGGGACTAATTGTAATTTATTCTAGCAGTGAACACTTAGTTTAATGGGTCACATACAATACTAACCTTATTTTTATTTATTATTATTATTATTATTATTATTATTATTACTATTTTTTCACTGATGGTAATTGTTTGCAGCATACAGACCAAATAGTAATTAGACCAGGATTATGTCTACATAGAAGTGGGCAGAGATAGACGCCATTCTAAGGTGAGCATGTGCATTTAATCATGTTTTAGTTGTTCGATCTTTTGCTTATGTCGCTGTTGCTTTCTCTATAAGCTCAATTTCCTTTTTATGATGACAGATCTCATCTTCGTCATGTTTCTTCAAGGCTGCCAGTTGTTCTCTAGTCTTCTGTCGGAAGAATTGCTCCTTTTCAGCGTGCTCTGTCTTTGAGAAGGCCCCACCAGCGTCTCGGATTGAGCCGGAAGAACTCCCACGATCCTTGTCCAAGCCGAAGCCTTGGGTTTGCTTGGCCCTCATTCCCCAAACGCCGGAGCCACGCCCAAGACACCAAAGCCGTACCTGCCATTGTTCCTAACGTAGTAGTCCCTCGTCGCTTGGTTTGGCAGCTTGTCTCTTTTTATTTATTATTATTATTATTTAAAATGTATTTGGGGGGCTGGAGAGATGGCTCAGTGGTCTAAAACACCTACTTGAAACAAGCTTGGCAAAGCACAGGGACCTCGGTTCGATCCCCAGCACCACATGCCAGCCAGACCCGCCCCCTGGTGGGCTGAGCTGGCCACACACACACACAATAAATAAATGTAATAAATAAAAAAATAAAAAAATATTAAAAAAAAATAAAATGTATTTGGTACCGGGTCTATAGGGTTTCACTTACACAGATTGGACTCGTGATTCTCCTGTTTTCAGCCTCAGCGTGCCCTGGGGTCAGGGCCGGCCCAGTATGCCAGGGATCAAACCCTGGCCACTGCGCTCTGCCTAAGCTAGCCCTTTAGTCCGCTGAGCTATCTGACCAGCCCTAATCTTACTTTTAAAAGTAAAATCAAAAACATCTTTATTTTCACAAACAACATCAAAGACTAAAAAGACACAGCCGGGTGCAGGAGTACAGGCCTATAATCCCAGAACTCTGGGAAGCTGAGGTAGGAGGACTGCATGTTTGAAACCAGCCTGGGCAATTTAGCAATTTAGAGAAGACCTGTTTCCAAATAAAAAATAGAAAAGGGCATGAGATGTAGCTCAGTGCAAAGTCTGTGCTTTTAATCCCCAGGCTGGAAAACAAACAAACAAACAAACAAACAAACAAAAAAAAACAAGCCACAAAGTTGGAGAAGAAATTTGCCGTGTGTAACTGACAAAAGGCTTATTATGTAAATACACAATTTGTAGACTTCCTATAATATACTAGGAAAATGACATTTCACAAAAGATGATGTCTGGGGTCAATACAGTGCTTAACTTCATGAAAGGTCAAGGACATTGAAGCTGGGTGAGGTGACACGTGCCTGGAGTCCTTGCACTCTAAAGACTGAGGCAGGAGGACTGCCATGAGTTTGAGGTCAGCCTGCGCTACAAAGTTAGTTCCATGCCAGCCTGCGCTATGTAGCAAAATCCAGTTTCCAAAAGCAAAACGGAGCAAAACAAAAAAAATCAAGGAAATTCAAATTAAGACTGTGACAAGGTACCATCTCTCATCCAGGGTGGACAACAAAAGTAAAAAGAATAGGTTATTGTTCGGCTGGGCTCGGTCGGGCGCTGCCTCCCTCGGCTTCGGGGGTGTCAGTTTGTGCCGTCCGGCTTCTCCCCCGCCCCTCACTCTCCCGGCTGACGGCCACCGCGGCAGCGGGCGGGCCTGGCGTTTGGAGGCCGAGCGGTGCGGGGTGCGGGGCGCGGAGGAGGAGCAGCAGCAGGAGGAGGAGCCGCGCCCGGCCCAGCGGCCGTGGCCATGGCGTACGCCTATCTTTTTAAGTATATTATCATCGGCGACACAGGTGTCGGTAAATCATATTTATTGCTACAGTTTACTGACGAGAGGTTTCAGCCAGTGCATGACCTCACGATTGGTGTAGCGTTTGGTGCTCGAATGATAACAATTGATGGAAAACAGATACAACTCCAGATCTGGGACACTGCAGGACAAGAGTCCTTTCGTTCTGTCACCAGGTCTTATTACAGAGGTGCTGCTGGGGCTTTGCTAGTATATGATATTACAAGGAGAGATACATTTAACCACTTGACAACCTGGTTAGAGGATGCCCGCCGGCATTCCAGTTCCAACATGGTCATTATGCTTATTGGAAATAAAAGTGATTTAGAATCTAGAAGAGAAGTAAAGAAAGAAGAAGGTGAAGCTTTTGCACGAGAACACGGCCTTACGTTCATGGAAACTTCTGCTAAGACTGCTTCCAATGTAGAAGAGGCATTTATTAATACAGCAAAAGAAATACATGAAAAAATTCACGAAGGCATCTTTGACACTAATAATGAGGCAAATGGCATTAAAATTGGCCCCCAGCACACTGCGACAAATG